TAAGGACGATAGATGTGTGATAGGAACGAAGAAGCAAACCACACCAGAGCACCCGCCAACTACCCACTTTTTTTCTCCTCTGTAGGTAAGGCGGGAAGGCCTGGCTTGTGTGAACCAGGTGGTCAAAGACTGCTACAGCCTGGCCGGACAACACTGGTATGGAGGCTTTGAGGCATTCAGCCAGGTGTGGCCGCTGAAAAAGGACGTTGTCCAGCCCCCAGGAGTCGTGACAGACGAGACAGAGTCGCAGTCTCTTGACAGCGTGCAGCTCAGCTTTGGACCCTACGTCTCGGGAGACTTTGGGACACAGGGTGTGGAACTTGAGAATGTTCTAGAGAAGTGAGAACTTTACAATAATTATAGTCTAGTAAGATTACATAATAAGTCGCCTTTTAGAATGGTATACACATGGTGGAGTTTTACACATAACAGTTGATATAAGAAAACAGAAATAGGATGTGGAAATATGTACGATTTGTGTGTTTTGCTATCATGTTTGTGTTCGCTGTATGCTTGCTTGGCTGTACTTAGATATTTGTGAGGCAGCGCTGTGAAATCAGGCGCTCGTCAAAATACTGAAATGGAAGAAACCGGCATTTTTCTGCCAGTTTAAAAATTTTTCTCGAACTTTTGTTGTTTGGCCCAACACCTTCTATGTCTGTTAAAAAACACATTTTTGTATGATTTAACTGAAAATTGAGTTTCCATGGACTCTCAAGCTTTGGAAGTCACAAAACTGGTGGCCATTTTATTGCAATTTTACCTCTGAAACCAGACAACCCTCACCTCTTCAATCGTAAATATCTCGGCTTCTCTTCAAGTTAGATGGGTATCTTTTTTTCATCCCAAGCAAGGCAAATGAATAAGCTTTATGCTGATACCAATAACTCCGCATGCTCAAAAATTGACGGGTGCCTGATTCCACCGCGTCATGTCACATTTGTTTTCCACTTTTGTCTCAACTGTTTAACAGTTATTTTTTTATCCAGCTGCCCCCTGTGGTTGTCTTAGATGAACAATTTGTTTCCATCAATATGGAAAATTGATCTTTATTGTTACCTACCCCCCCTCCCCACTCCTTTATTGAGACCCCTAACCTCTTTAGAGTGAAAATTTCAGAAGCAAGATGTAAAAGGAAAGTCTATGTTCTGTAATACATGATTGCACAATTTCCAAAGTAACTGAAAAATTGACAGATACGCTATAAAATAAAAACTGGGGATCTATTCTACTGGATAGGAGGTCATGTGTTGAGACCTCTGATAGAAGATTAATCTTTTTGAACAATACACCTCGATACCCATCTCTTGTTGTGGCATAGTGCGCGACCTCAGCTCTTTCTTGTCCTATCTCCATTTATAATATCAGTGAAAACAGTTCATAACAAAGAGAGAGCTTAAGAAGAAGTCACATTTTCACTGTTAAAAAAAAATGGAGATAAGACAAGAAAGCACTGAGGTCGCGAGTGGGTAGTTGGCGGATTCTCTGGGGTGGTTTACTTCCCTTTTCCTTTAATATCCATAAATCATCCTTATCTCCGCTACATCTTTTCTCTTTATGTTATTCTATACTAACTTCTCTACCTAATCTTTGGCACTTATATGACCTATTTGTGTTGCAAATGCCTTAATACTCTTACTAAAAGTAAATCTAGAACTTAACATGATGGCTTAATGTCTTTTCTCAGCCTGTTTTTCTCCTCCACTGGTGTCGGCATCATGGTCTCGGAAGAATCTCCTCTCTACCTGAGCTTCAACGCCCACGGCGACCAAACTATGTGTCTGGCTGCCACCTACGACAACGCAAATTTCTTCAGCACTCTTGGCAAGCCTCCTGTCTTAGGTAACATAAAGTCCTAATATATCGTTGAACCTGTATAAAACAATCACCTTCATTACATTTTTGTTCATTATAATGACACTGTAAGACGTCCGGCTGTCTACGACAACTGCTTTTCTCCTCGGGCTGTCTCTGACAATTTCAGCTGTTTGTGTCAGTGAATATCAAACTCAACGACATGAGTTGGAAATTCTACTAATTGGGTGAACAATATTGTTAAAAAAACAAATTATTACCTTCTCCATAGAATAAAAAAAAAAAAATGAAGTCAGCTGGATGAAGTTTGATATGGAAACTTTTGATATTACAAGATGCGAAAACATGAAAATGGGCAAATTTTGCCCTAAATCACAGATTTCTTAAATAAATTTTTTAAAATTGACATAGCACAGTAATTTTGAAGCTGCATGTTTATTTTTATATGAAATAGAACCAAAAACATCAAACTTACAGAAGAAAAATCCATCAGAGGTTGATTTTTTTTCTTTTGGGCCTTCCTATTTTAATTGATTAATGAATTCTACTGTCAGGATATTTTACTCCAGGAAACTCTTTTTCTTTCTGATAACACTGGTCTACTAATTTTCAAAAAGTTTCTACTGGGTGGTCTTCTTGGACAATTTTGACCCCATAGTATATTGTGAATATATTGACCTTACACTTCACTGTGGATGGTTGGTGGGTGCTCAGGTGTAGTTTCCTTCCTATTGAACAACTTATCTCTTTCTTATCTCCCTTCCTTTTTTTGTGTTTGTTACCCTCTTGTAACACCTCTAGCCTTTTGCATTTACATTATCTAATTGTTTAATTGCAAGTGCCATAAAACTCTTACTAATACATAAATTACTCACACCCGCTTCCACCCACAGAGTACACAGTGTGCAAAGCTGGGAATGTGAAGGAAATCCACAGCTACATGCGACAAAGGTTCATCCCTAAGCCAGAAGGAATTCCCAATGTGGAGGTCATCAAGTACCCAATCTGGTCAACATGGGCGCAGTACAACAAGGAAATCAACCAATCGTCCGTGGCAGAATTTGCAGGCACGTTCATTCTCTGCTTCTTCTTTACTACTACTTTACCCATTGCTACTTAAAAAAATTTCCCTCTCTTGTTTATTTCTTTCTATCCTATTTGCTGCTTCCTGGCACCAACTGGTCTTTTTTGTGACAAAGTGCTTCTCTGACAAAAGCTTACTTCCTTATTTTACGGTCGGAACCGCTGTGCTGGTGAGCCGCTAGCAGGGGCTCATTCCTTTGTGATTTTTCGGCTGGATCATGCAAATTGTTTTTCATCAATGTCTTGTGTTTCAACTGTCGTCTCTTGTATTTTGATTGCCATCACTTGAGTTCTAACATCTTGTTTTGTTTTCATTATAGATAAGATTCAGAAACTCAAAATGCCGTGCTCCCAGATCGAAATCGACAATGAGTGGACAGTCCGCTATGGTGACCATGATTTTGACCGGAAAAAGTTCCCTGACCCAAAGAAGATGGTCGCTGACCTCAACAAGAAAGGATATCCTGTGACCCTGTGGATTCATCCCTTCTTCAGTTTGGAGTCGGAGTCGTTTCAAGAAGCCTTTCAGCACGGATATGCCATCATGACTCGAGTAAGGCTGGGTACTGTTTAACACTTTTAGTACCGCCGGGTTTACTAAACATATTTAAACTATGAACGAAGCTACTGCACTGAAGTAAATATCATAGATGAAGTCACTCTATATGATAGCTGACTTAACTCAAACAAACAAGCAAACAAATATCTAGCAGGACAGTAGATGATTTCTAAAACTAAAGGATGTATAATTTTATAACTTTTCTCAGGGCTCTGTGAATCCATCTTTGGTGAGGTGGTGGAGCGGAGAAATGGCTGCCATCCTTGATGTGTCAAACCCTGCTGCTGTCTTGTGGTATCAGAAGAAACTCATTAGTCTTCAGGACAAATACAATGTCTCATCTTTTAAGGTGAGTGAAGACTGACTGTTCTGCTGTAAGCTGATGCCGTAAGCTGAAAAAACGCCTTTTTTCATCTTAGTGCCTAATAATTTTTGTTTGCTAAATCGAAAACCTGATCAGTTACCCTACATGTGTGGAAAAAATCAATGCAAAACTGTGACTAGTTTTTTAAAGACATTAGAATTCAAATTTTGGAAGAAGGCTACTTTTAAATGGTTACGCTGACTAAAAGCCTCTTTATCTCGAAACTGCAGTGAGAAAAAAAAAGGCGTTTTTTTCTGCTTACGGCAGTGTTGTCCTTTCATCTTTTCTGTTAATTGTTGTTGTATCAGTGGTCTAGTGGTCTGTTGGGCTCGCAACTAAAAGGTGATGGGTTCAAATCTTGTCAGGGGTCAGATGTGTCATTAGGAAAGGCACTGTACTCAAATTTTCCTCACATCATCTAGGTGGGAATGGGTAGCCTACCTTTGCTATAGACAGAGAAAGATCATTTTGGTTTGTTAATGTAGGAGTTCTTAAGTGGCTTCTTGCACTATGTGCTTCTCAGAAAGTTCGGAATGTTTCTGAGTGTTGCAGACTCTGCTTGGGTAATAATAGTAATAATAATAAGAATAACGATAACAATTTTATTTATATAGCACATGTCCAGGCTCTAAAGCATGCATGCTCTATTTGCTCTACAACCATTAGGCCTACAGTGTAGATTGTTAAGCCCACAGAGCATGCTGTTGAGCAGGGATATATTATTTTGCTATGGAAATAGTATTTAATATTATTGTTTTCTATTTTATTTGGCATTTCCTTGACTAAGTACTGCTTCTTTCGTGTATCTCAAACCAAAATAAAACTAAACATAAAGCAATTTTAAAATTTAAAATACAAGCAGTTTGTCTGTAAAACGATACTTGGAGTGAGCTCAAGACTAACAAATTTATTGACAAGCTGTCCAAATTTACTAAACTCAAAAAGCTAAGAAAAAAATTCAGGAGAGAGAAAAATCTGTTTCATTGTTTTAAAAATAGTAGGCTACCTACATTATATATCTTTTCTTACTTTTACCAACATTTATAATTTGAAATTGTCAAAGCATTTCTTGAGCATATGTAAACAGTACTACAAATTAAATAAAAGAAAATGATAAAAAATGTTTTAAAAATTGCGCTAGTACATCGGAACAGTTGACAAACTATATAAATTAGGTTCAAAGTTTTGTTTTGTGACTGACACAGACCTTATGCGGTATTTGTCTTTGTCGAGATAACAACAAATAACAACTGATAACAACAAATAACAACTGATAATGACAAATAACAACTGATAACAACAAATACTGACAACCGGTAGCAAAAAAATAACGACAAATATCAACACAAACATCTTAATTTAGTGGGGGGTTTTCCCGATCAATTGTTACATTCGATTTTACTTTTGATTTGAATGAAAACAAAAAAAGGGATACAACTCCGCCGGTCATCTCTAAAGAACAGTCTACTGCCAGTAGTTGCTCGGAGATGTGCACGTCAGAGAGGGGCCTGGTTTAACAAATGAATATTGATTTTTGAGGCTGGAATCAAAGTATTTTTGTGTTATCAGTTGTGCATTTGTTGTTTTCAGTTGTTATTTGCTGTTGTGAGTTGTTATTTGTTGTTATCTCGACAAAGATAAATACCCGATCTTAGGTATAACGATTTCAGTCATGACTGCTTTTGTGGAAGGTTGGGTACCTACCAATTTGTTTTGTTTTTGTGCGTGCAAAGACATTTTTAAAAAAAAGTGATTGTTAGTGAGAGAAAAAGTAAACAGACAGACAAAAAAACAACGCAGAGAAAGAAATGAAGAAGGACCTAACTGTGGTGCCCTCCAACCACCTGCATCATACATATCACCTGATGATGGAAATTTTTCAAGAAATTGGGGAGCAGACACCAACTCAATCCACCCTCCCCCCACTCCCCCGACAGAACTTACCCCTACCCCACTATCTTCCTGCTGCTCCCTACTTATAATAACGACAGAATTGTGTTGCAAGTGCTGTAAAAAGCTTACTAAAACAAACAAAACAAATGAAGAAAAGATCTGGCCTTTAAGGCTGCCATAAGGGGAAAATTGAAGATCAATCACTGCCCAAAACTGAAGCCAGTCTAGTTAATATGAATGTTAAAGAACTGATGATTCTAAGTCCTATCTAGGTAAAACAGCCATGAACATAACATCAACAGCACCGTACAATGAAAGAGTTATAGACAGACAGTTACTCCCGGAGCTCTAGCCAGGTCACCAGAAGAAGAAGAAGAAGAAGATCAAGAGCTAAGTGTGTGTCTCACCCATGTCTCCATCTATCCTCAGTTCGATGCTGGTGAGGCTCGCTATGTGCCATATGCGCCCAACATGTTTGGTCACATGACTTCCACCAATGAGTATGCCACCAACTATGCTGAATTGGCCTACAATATCGACCCAGTGAACAGAAGGCAAGAGGTTCGAATCGGCTGGCGTTCACAGAGGCTGCCTATCATAACCCGGTTGATGGACAGACTGTCTACATGGGATGAAAAAGCAGGACTGCGATCGCTCATTCCATCTACACTGACTTTAGGCGTCATAGGATACCCGTTTGTTTTGCCTGACATGATCGGTGGAAATGCATACGCCGATTTGATAACATTTGGACGTGGTGCCAACCCCGACCGAGAGCTGTATATCCGATGGCTTCAGCTCAGCGCACTTTTACCAGTCGTGCAGTTTTCTGTCGTACCTTGGGTTTATGACGACGAAGTTGTCACCATCACGAAGAAATGTCTCGCCATCCGCGAGCAATATGTATCAAGGATTCTTCAGCTGGCTCAGGAGTGTGTGGAAACTGGGAACCCGATTATTCGTCCGTTATGGTGGGTTGCTCCCCTTGATGAGCAGGCATTAGTGACGGGAGATGAGTTTCTCGTTGGGGACGATCTTCTTGTTGCTCCGATTGTCGTAGAAGGTGCAAGGAAGAGAGACATTTACCTTCCTAAAGGACAATGGAGGGATATGCTGAGGAAGGAAGCCATTGACGGCCCTGTCTTTCTTAGGGACTATACTGTCGCTATTGATGAACTCGCTCACTTTGAGAGAATAACCAGCTAGTTGTTTTGTATGTGGAGAGAACTTATAAATGAAATATTGGCACGGAGTTGGGGGACCAAATACATGCTGCCAACCATAAAAGAAAGGTATTAAATATGTTTTTGAGGATCTGAGTATGTAAGTCTGTTTTCATGCTCGAAAAGGAAAATATGTATGTAGTATCTGTTTCAAGTATTAAATTGCTCCTCATTTACATGCAGATGTTGAAGAAAGTTGATGAACTTTGAAGACTGAAGTTGCGAATGATAATTTGAATGAGGCCCCATTAGTCAATTGAAGACATCTTTTGCTGCAGGGATACTTTGATTAGCTTGCATTTACTGAAAGCAGAAAAGTGTGTGTGAAGGGTTTGGAGAGTGGGTGTGTGGGGGGTGTATGGGGGGGTTATTGTTTTTCTTGGTTAATGCATACCAGCATGATCTGCCACACAGGTAGAGTCTAGAGTCTGTTTTTCAGTTTTGAAAAGTTGGCAGCCGTGCAAATAGAGGGACAAGCCTTCATAAAGTTTCAGGAATATTTTATACGACATTTGATTTTCTTGCATCCTTTCTGGGGGCATTTGACTGCTCCAGTATTCCCATGTCAGTCCCCTGAGGGACGTGTGACATTGACTTTTTGGTCAGTATCTCTAAGTTTGATCTCATTTACCTTTTTTAGATGGTGAAACTTTATAATATTGTATCTGAATATTTTTTTTTGCAGTTGAAAAAGGAACAATGTCGTGCCCGTTTTCCTTGAAACATAACTTTATGACTAAGATGTATATTTTCCTTTTGGATTCATAATTTTGTTATCCTTTGAAAATGTGACATCTTCAAATCTCTATGCAAAACTTTTGTTTTTGTACGCTCATTGCATAAGACTGCCCGCTGTCTCTCTGACTTTTCTAGAATCAAGCCTCAGGAATGTATATGTGTACAACGTTCTGTAATAATAAGTGTGGTGGTTGTTATTGTGTATTCTGCTGTTGGCTGACAAAACGCCTGTTTTCATTTTTTGCATCAAGTTTTTTTAATTTGCTAAATCAATAGCCTGATCAGTTACCCTATTTGTGTGGAAAAAAAATCAAAGCTTTTGCATCGCAAAAATGCCTTTTTTTTAGTGGTTACATTGACAAAATGCCTTTTTTCTTGAAACTACTGTGAATGATAAAAAGGCGTTTTGTCTGCTGATGGCTGTATTTTGGTGTGGTGGGTGGGTGGTAGGTGCTCTGGTGTGGTTTGTTTCTTCTTTGCTATCAAGTAGCTATTGTCATTATATCTCCTTCTTGTCATTATGATGTTGATCTCTGGTATTACCTCTAATCTTTGGCACTTATATACCAAATTGGGTTGTAAGTACTATATTTGTTTCTGTTCATGTTGTAGTAAAGATTGAACTCGTGTATGAAACGAAGGGAAAGTATCGTTCCATTTATGTGTAGTAGCAAAGAGTTGTCGTTTGACAAGGAATAGATGACCCCGCAGAATGCCAGGGTAGTTGGACTCTCTGTTTTCTTCCTTTAGACCCTATATTGCCACAAAAGAACAAGTTAGCAAGTCAAATACGGTGGTGTCTGTTTATACCAAAATCTACTGGACCACCAGATATTCTTCGACTTAGTTGGGTATATCAGTGGGTGGTTGGTCGGCGCTCTAGTGTGATTTGCTCCTTCTTTTTTATCAAACATCTCATTGATGACTGTCGCCGATGTCTGTGGTGTAGCAGTTTAGTGCTTCACTGTCGCAATCATGAGACCCCAAGTTTGAATCTGGAATATAGAGGACTTTTATTATCTCAGCCTTTAAAAAAAAATTAGATCTTGTATAATCATTCTCAGCTCTGACAAGCAGGGTCGTAAGCCCGCCTCCTAAATGATGTAGATTGTGTCGATGGGGGCCTAATAATGCCCACATTTATTTTTTTCAGTGGGGGCTACTGTCCTTCAGACAA